CTTCAAAAGAGAGGCTGGCCATGGAAAGGAGGGGCTTGTTCTCTGCTAATAGAGTGAGTTGCCCATGTCTTTTTCTGCTTCCTGGCTGTGGGTGATTTCTAGAGGGGCAGAGGAGGACATGTAAATACACACAGAGACGCACTGGCATGCTAAGATGCTTCTATGAATCGCACAGCCTGTAGCAGATCCCCCCACGTGGGCAGGAGAGAAGGTGGTCTTTTTGAGACCAGAAAGCATGTGTTTTGCTGCTGGGGCTCCTGTCGTACAGCAACGTACAGCCCTTTTCTTAGGGCAGTGCAGCCCCAAGAGGTGACTCCAGCAAACAAGCAATGCCAGAAAGTAGAAAGCAGATAGCAAATGCAGGGTTGTCCCAAAGCGTGAGGGTTGGCAGCGACTGGTCCTGAGAGCAAGCGGGAGCTAACATCTCTTCTCCCTCATGTTTCAGCTGACTGGACCCTGACTTGGAGAGGTGTCCGCTGTGCAGAGCACAAGGAAAGAGGTGATGCGAAGGAAGAAACAAATGGATTCAGGGAGGAGTGGAGGGGGAGGGAGAGAGGAAGAGGACGGGAGAAGTGCCAGCCCCTCCAAGGACTATCTCGCACTTCACCAAGGCCAGCAGCAGACGACTTTTGGTTCTTTCCCCATCCCCTCCTCCTTTGGCCTCCTCCCAACCCGGCAACTGTACAAAGCTACAGATTGAATCACAGTAAATTATTATTTGATGGTCTCGACAAACCGTTTTGATGGCTCTGTCCAGAGCTTGCTGCCAATGGTGGCTCTGGGAGGATCACAGGGAACAGGAGAGTGGGGAGGGGAGATTCTTGGGTTTCATCTCTGAGTGAACCACCACTGTGCTGCAGACCAGAAAGGCAACAGAGTCGGGCCAGTGATTTCAACATGGGTGCAAGGCAAACCTCTGTGAAGCAGCTGTGAGCCCACATGTTGTTTCCTGGAGCCGAGTGTTGTTTGAAGAGGTCTTGAGGTGGTTAAAGGCCATCTGTTGGCCTCTGTGGGAAAAATCTTGCGCAGGTATCCCCAGGCAGTGCCAATGAACAGTCAGAGATGAAACAGAGGTGGGTTCTGTGCCCTGCAGATTGGCGGCTAACGGGCTGCAGGGTGCCAAAGGCAGCAGCTGTGATTGCACAAGGCCTCGCTTATTTTCACATCCAGGGATTTGTCCTTTATGTAAAAAGTTCTGCTGCACCACTGTTGTTGTCACACGCGTTTGTTTAATTAGCACCGAAATCCACTGCTGGCCCCCAAGTTTTGGTTGGGTAGCAGAGTGCAACCAGCCTGAGCCTGTCCTCAGCAGTGCCCTGGGCAATTTGCCTTCGCCCCAGACCGTGTGGGATTGTTACAAGCTCAGATGTGATGCCTTGAAGCACTAGGGAGGAGCTGAGAGCTGCATTTAGAACTGGTGCCAGTTGGGTGCTTCCTGGGTTTTTCTGGCCTGAGCGGCACTTCAAGCAGGGTAGGAGCAGAGGACGGCTTCTTGTTCTACCCAGCTTTGTATGGTAGCGCAGGGTTTGGAAAAGGCAGCAGTTGTTGGCCAAGGTACTTTGCTTGGCTGCTTGCAGCCTTGCCCAGCAGCAGGCAGCTGTCTTTCTGGCACCAGTTCCAAAGTGCTCATGTGTTCTGGAGGCAGAATTTTCCTTCTTCCCTGCAGCACCTGGCTGACACTAACACCTGCTTAGTGTAAACACCTCGGGCTGCTCCTGGCTGTCAGCAGGGTATAATCGGTCACCAAACCTGGCTGTCCTTTGGAGGCTGGTGCATGGGCCTCCCTGTGGGCATGCCTGCCATCAGCCACTGTGAGTACATCTGTACAAGGGGCCAGTGGCATTTCTCCAGCACAGGCCATGCTGTTGTGCAGGCTGATGGGACTTGTGTCTGCGCTAGCAGACCCCAGGGAGAGCACCAGAGGAGAGAGGTGATCGGTGTGGTAGAAAACCATCCTGCAAGGACTAGCCCAGGCCTGAAGAGGTGTAAGTGCTCAAGGAGGCAGAGGCTGGGAGCGGCAGGGGCAGAGCATGAGTCACATCCCTCATGTAGCAAAATGGGTACAGGAACCCTTCTGCCCTGCAGTACAGAGCCACGGCCCACTGGGAGCATCCCTGTAAGCTGCCTCTCACCCCACTGCCTTTGCTCTGCCATGTTGTGCAGTGATAGAAACAAAGAACTAACGCTGCTTGGCATCGATCTTTGCTTTCGACCTGGGCAAGAACTGACTTGCACTAAAAGCTTGCTTTCCAGACTGTCTGCTGCAAAGTGCCATGTCAGCACGTTCTTGCACACAAACCACAGTTGCAAGGGATGTGCTAGAGCAGTAGCAGCCAGAACACAAAATCCTTCAGCAGTTTGTCTGGGAGCAAGGAGCCACAGTATGAGCACTTCCTTTTCAAAGAGGTTTCTGCATCCCTTAGGCTCAAGTTTTCTTGCTCAAAAACGCTCTGGATCTGAGCAATACACTTGTTACCTGAGTTTGCTCAAGTGTCTTCTAGTTGCAAAGCAAAATTCTATGCTGAAAATTGGAGATGATAGGTTGGGAGCAAAAGGAGGTGCTAAAAGCTTGACACAGCAGTCCTTCCTCTCAAATCATGCGTTGTGAGATTGCTGCTTAATTCAGTAGCACGTCTTTGTTCCAGGACATTGGCTTTAAGCTGAGGAAGGCCAGTCTCAGAGCAATCATGGCAGCTTTACAGCATGGCAGTGAGATGAAGGTAGGCAAAAACCAGGCCCAGCTGCTTCTCTCAGTTGGAGCTGTTGCTTTGGACTTGGTATTTTGACTTGCTGACTTGGTGCTTGTGGTCTGAATGCAGGAGAGCATCTTGTTGGTAGAGCAGCTGTAACAGGATGTTAGTATTCACAAGTTTGCATATTGAGTATGAGTTGAATACTGTCCATTCAGTGGCTGAATTTCTTGAGTCTGAAAGTGATATCAGGGTTACACAGTTCCGTTACAGTGACTGTAAGGCTATAGAAGGAATTACTACAGTTGGAGTTGATTCAGGAATTTCCTTGTAGGCATTGTATGTTCTGGACCATAAGATGTGGTTTTGAGATATTCCAATAACTCATTTTCCCTTACGGCAAGGAGTTCATTGCCCCTCTCTGTTCTGATGCTGTGGCGCGAGCTTAGGTAAGTGGAACAGGCAGTTCTCTGAAGAGCTGCACATTGTATAGCCAGGTGTCTTGAGTACTCAGTGCATTTTGCTATAGTTTGCACACCTGCTCCCATTTGGCTGCCATGTTCTCTTTAGCTGGCTGTGGCAAGGCTGGACTACACTTGGTGCTGTGATGTGCACCTTGGGCAACTACAAACACTGTGACCAAGAAGTTTTCAGGCAATATCACACCAATTACCTGCTGAGGCTGCATCTCCTGTGCTGGAAGAGGGCCTTCTTTGAAGCTGTAGCTCTGTTCTGCTCAGATTCAGCTCTCTCAGAATGGACAAATAAACTTTTCTCTCCTGCACCATTCAAGAATCTCACACCCTACTAGAGAGAGATGAGAGTTCAGAGAGATCACAGCTGAGTCAACTGATGTAATTGCTTACAAGCTCTTAAAGATGCTGATGGAGTGCTGGAACGAGTCTCATACCTTTTTTGGTCAGTCATAGCTGCAACAGAAGCACTTTCCTAAGCCAACAAGAGATGGTAACTTCAAAACGGAGGAGTTCCTGGTGTTTGCTGAAGGTTCTGACATTGTCTGAATTGAGCTGAGTTTGCTGAAGTTGGCATGGGAACTGGATGGTGTTTAAGGCCTCTTCCAATCCAAACCATCCTATGGCTCTATGTTTCTGTGATTATATGAGTGCAATGGGACAAGCACGACAGTGCTTGATTCCTGGGTAAATGTGTGAGCCAGAAGATGCTGGCAAGAGGTGCACAAGGTACTGGTGCCAGCACCAGGGCAGTGCCACCACTCTGCTGTGGCAAGAAAGGTACAATCCAGTGCCTGCGTGGCATGCAGGGACCAGGATGCCACTAAGCAACTCCTAGGTCTGTTTTTCAATGACCAAGTGAGCTGGTGCAGAGAGAACAAAGCTCTGCCTACAACATGGCTTAAGCCCAGCATGACCCTGGGGAAAGCCCTGCCCTTCTGAGAAAAGCCACTGAGCCATCAAACTTCCCGTGCTGCTCTTGGCCTTGTCTTGCTGGTGTAGCTTTGGGTTTGCAGTGGAGGAGCCAGCAATTGGTGTAATCACGGAGCTTGATACCAAAGGGCCACTTTCTCTGCTACACAGCTGCAATACCCCGCAGCCTGCAGGAAGGACGTGGAGGGTGGAGTGCGGGAGAGGTGCTGCCCACAACGCAGTTCCTGCAGGATGCTGTTAGTGATGAGAGGCACCAGTGAATGGCGTCAGCATGAATCAGCCCTGACTCAGCGGATGCTGCGTGGGGGCACACCCGTTCTGTCCAGGCATGGCCCTCTGAGGGCTTCAGGCAGGGAAATCGGCGTTAGCCTTGGGTTCCCCACTGCAACAGAGCCAGTGCAAAGCACTGCAGAAGGGTTGCGCTGGGCTGTGAGCACAGGGAGGCAGAGAGGAGCGGGTTCCTGTCCTGCTGCTGGGCCCCACTCAGCCCCCTGGCTGCCGCCTCAGGAGGGAGGCACAGAGCCAGGATCAGCTGGGATGCAGCTCTGTCCCAGCCACGACTGCTGCTTCAGCTAACGTCTCCACTGTTTGCACACACGGAAGCTCACACTTCTGCACGCATCAGGGAAGCACCAGGCCCTGCCCCAGAACTGGAGCGATTTTCCATCTGCACGTTCACCTATGAGTAGCCCAGCCCTTCCTCCTGCCTCTAACACGGCTGCTGCAAGGAAGCACTGGGGGGGGAGGGGGGGAAAGCAGCTTTACACTAACCTTTCACTATTACCACCATGTCAAACAGAGCACTATGCATAGTCTTTCTGGATCACAGCTAAAAGGAACGACTGACTTTCTTTTTTTTTCATCTAGCTTCCTTACAAAAAAACGAAACAAACCAACCAAACAAAAAAACCAACCACAGACATCGATATATTTTTTAAAGTAATAATTATAATACATTAGAAAGAGTCACGGAGGAAGCGTTCCACGCTGTAAACAAGAATAGCAAGTAAAACAAAAGCCAACGGTAGCAGGGCTGTCAAAGTGCACGGCCGAGCCCCGGCCTCCAGCGCTGGGCCCCGCACGGCTGTGGTGTGAGGACAGGGAACCAGGTCTGTCCCTGGCACTGGGCCCTGCAGCTCTGCTGCTGCCCACACCGCACCTGCGCCACGCACTGGGCCAGGGAACAGCACAGCCTGCAGCGGGGCAGCTCGGCAGGGCCAGGAGCTGGGAGCTCCTTCCTGAGTTTGCTCACAGTCACAATGGCTTTGCTATGGGATGGAGCGGGTGAGGACGGCACTGGGACACACACTGGAGCGAGAGCAGCTGGAAGGGAGGCAGCACCCAGAGAGCAGTGCGTGCTGCTGGCTCTCGGCAGCCCCTGGGGCACTTCTAGCCCCTGTCCAGGCAGGATATAGCTGCTATGGAAGGCAATTGCTGCCTGTCCTGATATACTGCCCAGGTACTGTAGCACACTAACAGCTTTCACCGCTGCACGATTACTGATGAACACACCAATCAAACCAATTGAAGCACTTTTGCCTTAACCTCCTAACCACCTCTTCCCCATGGTGTGTTAAAACACAACTACTGAGCATCCATACAGCACTTCTAAGTGCTTCACCAACAGCACTGCGTGCCCCTGGCAGCACTTGGCAGAGTAGCTGTGAGGTCAGCCCTGCAACTGCACAGATGGGCAGGGAACAAGGTCTGGAGCAGAGCAGGGCTGCAGAAGCAGCAGCAGGCTCCTTCCACAGCTCTACTGACAACGTGCACAAAGCACATGCACAACCTGGTAAATACCCAAAGGGACTCAGTGGATGTTTTCTCCTAGTCTCTGGGTAGGCTTTGCTATGGTGCAGCAGCCTGAGAGATGAAAATGAGAGATGAAAACTAGGTTTCAAAAGTCTCCTTTAGATCTTAGAGGAGCTTTGGCCCATGTCTGCCATTGGAGGGACAGGCAGTGGTCTCACCCGCTGTCCAAAAGGTGACATCCCCATCCCCTCTGCCACAAAGCACTGTCACATACCACTCGTCTGGCCTGGAGCTCATTTCCTGCTGCTCCCCTTCTTGCTGAAATCCCTTCACAACGAGCTGCTGTGTGCTGGGCACATGGGTTTGGCTCGGTTCTTTCAGTGGGGTGAGCTGCCCTGCTCCCTGTGCACCTCCAGTCAGGTGGTGACATCCTGGGGACACAGTGCTGCTTGAAAAAGAAGTGCTGAAGGCAGGGATTGGCTTGGATCCCACGTGGTCCCAAGGAAAGTGGGAAAAGGACAGGACTGTAGGGCTCTCCACTGCACATAGATGCAGGGGCATCTGTCCTGTGGCGATGCATTAGGGCATCAACTTCCAAACCTCCGTTCCCAGGTTTCCTTTCTTGGTTGCTGATTTCTGGCTGGGTTAAACTAGGACAAAGAAAAATTGGGGGCCGTGTGCTCCCTCTTCCTAGCTTCTGTGGTGTCTCCACCCTGAAATTTTACTTGTTCAGGCACAAGCAGGCTTCAACCTGGGCACCACAATGAGACATGAACACACACCTCCAGCAGCTCATGGGCAAAGGCAAGGTGCGTGATGGGGGTTTGCACTGCAGCTAAACGGTGCCCTCAGGCTCACCAGGGCAGCAGCCAATTCTCCCCTTCGGTCAGTTTAAGGCAGCAAGCCTGCTTGCTGCTCTGGACCTGCAACCCAGGCTCAACTTTCACCACCATCCTCATCACCTGGAGAACATGAAGGGTCCTCTGCTGGGGTCACAGCCAGAGCTCACCACCACCAGCTGCTAACACCTCCTCTCTGGGAGTGCAGCCAGGGGCACGGAAAGGGACTACCAGGAGGAAGGGACTTGCATAGACTGCTGGGCAGTGGTGCTTGCCTACTGGCATGCTCCAGCCCCATCTGAAGGGCTGCTGCTTCCTGCAGGTCTGGAAAAAGAAATAAAGGCCTACTGCTACAGAGGAAGGAAAGCCTCCTGCTAAGTATTTTGTACTCCACTGCCTTATGTCCATCACTGCACCCACCCTGAGCCTTGGAGCTCCATGCTGCGAGGGGGCAGGCAGCGAAGAGCACACATTAACCAGCTCTGCTGCTCTCCCCAAATGAACCCAAACACAAGCACTTCTGTCCATAGAAAGGAAACCATGGATGCAAACCAAAGCGGAGGTTGCTGGTGGCTCTGGGCTCTGCAGCCCTGGCTCTCGTACCAAAGCACAGCTCTATGGGACACCACAGGCAGGCACAGCCGATTTGAGGGCATCGTGGGGCTGGTGCCACTCCGGCCCCCAGCTCAGTCCCACACCCCACTAAAATGTCACCGACTTGGGCAGCCGTGCAGCGGGATGAGAGTCTGGGCTGAAGCTGTTCTCCGACAGGGATTTGGAAACCTGTGGGGGAAGTTTTGGTTTGGGGCTCAGGGGTGGGCGCGGTGCTTTCAGTGCATTCGGCGGTTTCTGGGTGCCTTGCTGGACCGCCCCCATGTCTGACCTGGCAGAAGGCAGCAGGGAGCTGGCAGCCAGGGGATGGGCGGCCTCTGGCCAGGGCAGTGCCACCTGCCTTCTGTTTGCCAAGTCCTGCTCAGTCACATGCGCCACATGCAGGCGGGTGGTGGTTTTCACCACGGTATGGAGGCTGTTCCCCCTGGCCAGTGACACGCTCTCTGACAGAACAGGCGTGCTGCTGCCCGATGGCCTGCCCGGGGCAAGCGAGCCTAGGGCAGCGAAGCCTCGCTCAAGCGCCATCTCTGTGCCCTGCTGCAGGCCACCAAGCTCACCCGTGGACGCCGACTTGGGCAGTGAGGCCTTTGAGTCCATTCCATTCATCAGTATCACTCCATGTTGCGTCTCGCCCATATCCTCAGGGATGTCCCTCTGCAGTGCTGTGGCCTCCTCCCCACGCAGGGAGGATGCTTGTTGTTCCTCAGGTGGCCCACAAGCAGCAGGATCTGCCGTGTGGTCCATGCTGGAATGCCGCTCAGGCGGCTGGGCCTCCCCAGCTGGTGTGTCCACAGGAGCGTTCGACGCAGGGTGGAAGGAGCCCACGGAGCTGCACAGGGAGGGAGTGAAGCTGGGCGACTCGTGGTGCAGCTCACGATGCTCCTCGTGCTCAACCCCATGTCCAGTGTGCAGGGTGGATTCCCCACTCCTCACAGCATCCTCCAGGCTGGTGGGGAAGGCTTGCATCTCGCTCGGCTTTGGAGATTGCCACTGTGCCACATCCTCTGTCGGCTGCCCCTCGCTGTACGGGAGATGTGGATGGCTGTCAGCTGCTTCATGGGCCTGGCTGCTTGGCACATCGGGAGTCCTGACGGCCGTCCCCTGGTGGCTGGGAGGCTGTGCGGTGCCCCTGTCACAGGGGTGCTCACCCAGCAGCCCATTCTGGCCATTGGCTGCCGCACTGGCCTTCATGTCCAGAGGGTTGAGGGAGAGCTCCAGGCCCAGGGGTCTGCGAGGGAACTCGTCAGGCTTGGCTGCACCAGAGGGAGCGATGATATGAATAAGGGAAAAATCAAAAATAAGAAATTAAGAAAATATATTAAAAATATATAAGTAATCAAAGGGGAACAGGGGGACACGGGAGCTGCTGGTGGCTCTACCCACCAGGGGGGGGGAGGTCAAACTTCATCTTGCGCAGCTCACTCATGGACACCTGCAGCTGGTCTATGACAGCGTCATCCTCATACTGCAGCGACGCAGCAATTTTCTCCTGCAGAAATTCCCGCAGATCTTCCAGCGTCATCTTCAGCAAGCGCTCTGGGGAAGGGCAGAGAACACAGCAGGGTCAGAGCAGGGGCTCGGCTTGACTCCACAGCTCTGTTTTGGAAAGTCAACAAGTACTGGGTGCGTTGCTCTGGTTTTGACTAGGTGAAGTGTGAAATCCACTGGGCCAGGTGTCCTAATGCCCTTCTTTTCATGCTGAAGAGCTGGGGCTGTGCATGCCAGCCATGCCGCCCCTCCACTTCCTCTGGGCAGCAGCTCAGCAGTAGGGGCTGGCGGCTGACGGTGGGGTGAGGGCCTATGAAGGACAGTACACGAGTTAAGGGCCATTTCTGCAAGTTCTCCTCAATACCTCTAGGAGGAGAAAAAGCTCCATGAGAAAGCCCAATGGCCGCCTCCCATGCCCGCAGGCAGGGACTGAATGGGGCACTGATATACCCCACACTACATGCTCCTCACACTCCTCCGAGCACAGATAAATTTCAAAGCCAGGCTGAAACTGCTGTCTGCCATCAGAATTAAAATTTTCTGGAGGCAGCGGCCGTGCAGAAGTTGTTCCAGCCAGAAGCAAACCACTGCCTTTGGATGGCAGCACAAGCTTAGGCTAACCCGTGCACCGTATCCCTTGGTTAGCAGCTACGTGGCAGCTCGTGCTCTGCTCACTGCCTGCCCATCACACAAAACACTTACTTTTGTGCAGCTTGAGAATGGTGTAAGCCATGGCTGTCAGGACCCGCTCTCCCTCCAGGATGTAGATGTCCCACAGCCGCAAGGTGAGGGTGAAAGGTGTCTGTTCTCAACATAAACATAAAGCATCCTGTTAGCACCAAGGTAGTGACACTACAGGCTGACAGCACAGAGGTCAGCAGTGTGACTGTGTCCCCTTGCACTGAAACACACCCCACAGTAAGGCGACTGTAATGCAAACCCTTATTTTGTAATCTCTGGCTTAAAGCTAACAAACCTGATAGCTTTTGATGGACCTCCTTTCAACGTCAGCAAAAGGTTCTATCAACACCAGGTCCCATTCTGACAAACAGGAGTGAACTTGTATTCAAAATGATAGAGCATCTCCCAGGGATGTCAGCCAGCATTTATGGCACATCACCACTAATGAAATTCATACTGGTCTGACTGTGACATTAAAGTTTGGTTTTAGGATACTACACCTGCTCTCCAGAGTTCGGTGCAACTGATCTCAGCAGCTCTTGTACAGCTGTTGCTAAGGGAATTCTGCATTTTGTACAGCTTGTAGTGACAACAAGGCTCTGCATGCACACATCTGAGCTCACTCCCAGGAGGCCAGCCTCTGCTTTACAGGAGGCAAGGAAGCAGAAAATTGAGACTGTGGACACACAGACGTGCTAAATGTCAGCTGTTCTTGATCTGTTGTTTATGTGTGCAAACAAAAGGCTGCCCAAAAAATAAGGCAGTCTTGGCTTGGCCTTGGACACATCAAGGTAATTTTCTCATGCTTTCACGTCTCCAGTGTATGGTCTACTAATTGATGTGCAACTGCTGTAGTGCAATTTGTTCAGGTTTATGCCTCAAGCTCTTCCCCATACATGTTTCCAGAGCCCAAGTGATGTTAATTGCCTTCACAGGGCTGCAGTAGAGCAGGGAGGAAGAACGGTTCTCCCCACGCATGTGGCTGCTGGAGGATGCTTGTCACTCTCTGTGAATGACAGGCAGTTAGCTTCTTAGCTTCTCCACTGTCGAATTTTCTGCCTTATGAGAGTATGCATAATATTCCGCCTTATATATCACTAAAAGAAATTTAAAATAATGTGATTTTTTTCCACAGTTAGCGAGCAGAAAACCCAGACAGATTTGGCATGCACAGGTGGCAGAGCAGAACGCAGCCCACGGGGTTCTCACCCGGTCAATGAAGCACTGCAGGAACCACTTGGTGGTGTAAATCCCTGTCGTCATCTGCTCCTTGTCCTAGGATGAGACAGTAAGCAGAGACGCGCGTTTCAGCTTGAGCAATCTGTGGGACTTATCTACAGCCTGCCAGGCTCCAGCCACGCCACAACTTCAGGGAATGATTCCTAAGAGCTTTTCTGCCTTAATCTCTGCTCCGGGGATTTACGGAAAGCTCCCAGGAACCAAACCCACCAAACCCATGTACTCCATAGAGATCAACATTGGAGTTTCCATAGCGATTCCCATCCTGCCCTCTTGGAGAACACAGAAATGAGGAACCCCAAGCATCCCACAAGCAAACCCACACCTGCAGAGCCCAGCCAGTTGTGCTCATTCCTCTTTGGCCCCCCCCATTAACTCCACCTCCGAAACCTTCAACCCTAGGCAGAGTTATTTGAGTTTATGCCATCCACCTCCCGCTCATTTTTTCTCCCCAGTGGCTGTAATTAAGTGAAAACACGTTCTGGCTCTGTTCCACTGGCATGGCTGGGCCTGGCCCTCTGGCAGCAAGAGACAGAAGCTGTCTCAGAGGATAGCTGTTCCTGGAGCTGAGCCACCGAACCCCTGGGAGCACCAGAAGCTCTTAGCAGCCTGACCAATGAATACTGAATGTCTAAAGCAAATGCAAGGGGGGGAAAAAGGGAGCAGGTGTTACAAAGCAGTCTCCGCAGCCTTCGACCACAGTTGACATGCCCTGTAGACACCCCTCCAGCCTCTGAATGTCATGCCAGCTGCTCAACCTGTGCAGCCTTCAGACTTTAGCAGTCCCTGCACCCATGACAACCAGCAAGCAAATGGTAGCCATTCCCCTCAGCAAGATTCATGGAAAAAACAGCTTCACTGCTTGCCCTTGTGTGGCTGAAGCATAGGGTTAGAATTACGTTCAGTTGCGCATACGTTTGGCAGAGCATCACGCTACTTGCTTTGCCATTAAATGTGACTTTGTGAAGGATTGATAACAAAGAGATACCATGTGCTTCTTCAGTTTCGGAAAGAGTTTGCTTAAAATCTGCTCGTGATGAGCTTGAAATCTCTGCAGCTTTGGGAACCCGGGAATAAAGAAACCTGAGCAAAAAAAGACAAGAGCAAAAAATTAGAGGAGCTGGGAGGAGGGGTCATGGGGCAGCCTCATGTTGTAGACATTTATCCCCTGTGCAGCTGTGCCAGCAAGGATGCAGCACAAGCCTGCTATCTGGAAGGAGATGTGCTCAGCAAGCCTACAACAAGCTTCTTCCTGCTTTGCACCCGAAAACCATAGAATCATAGAGAAAGCACTGCTTTAGCAGGGAGTGTCAAAGCTAGACCAGGCTGGGTGTAGGCTTCTTCACAGAGCCATCCACAGTTGTCAGACCATCAGGCCTGGCCGCTTGCTCCTGAAATTGCCCTCTGTGCACAAATGACTGCTAACCACAAGATGAAAGGAACTTTAATGTGGTTGAACCAAAATAATACAACCCATTCAGTGGAATTGCATCTTCACAGAAACTTAAGGGCATGTAGCTCATGGCATATTGAAACCAAAGTGTTGTGCAGTGTTCTTGGATGTACTTCTGTTAGACTTCTTATAAACCTGTAAGCTTGAGTTAAATGACTGCCAAGGGCAAAGCACTTGGAGGGGAGATATCACCTATATAACTGCATTAATTATAGAGCACTAGAGGCTGGTGCTGATAAACTACATTCTTCTCTTGAGCCTGTCTGCCTGCAGCAGAGCTCACCTCTATGCTCAGTTTATGCAGCCATGTAATTAAGCCATGCTCACTTTAAGCAAGTACCTAAGGAGAAACAAGGCTCTCCTGGCCAAATTACACAGCAGACTACAGCCTCCTCTCAGCAAGCCCCACAGCAAGAGTTGCTGCCCACATCCCGGCCATCCTTACCATGCATCGCATGCTTCTGGTTGGTCAGAAGCTGTGCCAGTGCCCAAAATGCATCTTCTTCATTCAAGTACATCAGCAGGATGGCTGCGATCTGACTCATCCCCTGGCAGTAGCTCACCTCCTGCAAGAGCAAGGGGCACACGTGCTGCATGCTGCCTGTGGCTCCCTCTGCAACCCTATCAGACTCTCATGATTTGTTACTGGCGAAAAGGGGCACGTGGGGAAGACCTGGAGATGGGAGCACATGGATCCTGGGCCCCTCTGTTATCAGAAACCCAGCTTGCCTGCATCTCACATTCTCCTCTAAGTTCTGTCCCAGTTTTCAGGTATTTACTGTTTATTCTCCAGTTTACAGTTCCCATATGCCTACAGTGTCTGCCATATGGTCTACACCATCCCACCTGCAAGGCTTTAAGATTTCCAGGCACTCCACATGATGGTTAAAACCAGCACACAAACCATTCTCCCTCTTTTTCCCAGACTTAAACAAGAGCCCCGCTCTGAGCCAGGCCTTTAAAAAGCCCTTTGAATTTGAGCTATCTGCTCAACAACATCTTCCAAAGGTTTACCCAAGATTTTAAGGATGCCAGACCTGTGAGATAGATCAGTGAGCAGTTGTTCCTTTGACTGCCACCTGAAGTCACTTGTGCCTCCTTGCAATGGAGGCAGTGCACTCAGCAGCCAGTTTAGACCTATTCTGCCCAAGCATCACAGCAGTCCATGCACACCAGCATCAGAACTTCAGCTGACATGACTCTGCCTGAGATACACACAGCTGCTGGATGTATATACGTGTATCAGGACAAGGCTTTCACCGTAACTGGATTAGCTTACTACTTACAGTGTTGTACACTGAGTATGCCGACAGGACGTGGAACAATGCCTGTTGCCTGCAGAGAAAGAAAGGACATTAAAATGTGCCACCCATACAAACTGAGCTCAACACACCTGTGTGTCAGGTCTGGAAGGGGGGTAATGGTTTTCCTGTAGTCTGGAAGCCACTGAGGCACCAAATGCTTTAATCCCAGGGGAAACAATGTCACCTTTCCATTAGGAGGCTTCTCCCTTCTGTCTCTGCTAAGGGAGTCATCACTGTATGGATATGCAGTACAGTGCATATGGTATGCACACTGTATGTAGGGCACCTCTCCAAACCCATCCATCACAGAGGCCACGTACGTTTCATCCTGCTCCACAGGGACTCCCCACAAGCCCTCTGCACTTGCAAGCCCAGCACCTCCACGGCCAAAGCACCACAACAGACTGATGTGCCAGGCTCCAGAACTGGGGCTGAGCATGGTCCAAGGTGGATCTGCCCAAAAAGAGAGCTCAACAGCTGAATCCAATGCCCGCAGCCCAAGCCTTGTCATGTGCCCCTCAAGCGGTACTCACTTCACACCATAGCGATCCCGAAACATGATGTGGTTTCGGAAGGTGCGGTTAACATCCAGATCTATCTGCTTGATTTCTGAGGACCAGCTCTTTGCCTGTTGTTTCATTTGCTGGAAGGGAGAGTGGCAGACAAGAGGAAGGGGTCAGACATCATCTAAGCCTGCACCGCTTGATGTGCAGCCATCTCCCCGCGGTAGAAGTGGCAGCCTGTGAGATGCAGAGCCACTGAGGAGCGATCCCAGCAGCGAGCAGTGACCTGGGGGTGAAGGGATGAAGAACAGCGACCAAACCGAACACAAGCTTGCCCTCCCACCGAGGCAGAGCAACTGTAGCTCAGCAGCACGTGTGCCTGCACAGCAGGACGTGGACCAGCACATCTTACCAGCCCCAAAACCCCTTGCAAGCACAGAGATAGCACTGCTTTGGCTCATCCCATTGTGCAGCCTCTTGCTTGCCCCTACATCCACAACACAGGATTCTTCATGGCACCCAGCCTGGCACTCTCTCTGGGCTGTAACAAAGCTTCAAGTCCTCTGCTGGTGCTTGAGGAATGATGCACACCCAAAGCAAACAAACAGATGCATGTTTGCCAACAACACTGAGCTCTTCAGAGGCTCAGTCATAATGAAGTCCAAAGTACTGAGACTTCAACTCCTCTGGAAAGTGATCCTTACTCCCCATGCAGAAGAGAATCATGTTAATTTTGAGGAATCCTAGAACAGTAGTTCTGGGATAATTTCTTGGATCGCTGCAAATTTTAAGGAACTGGCTAAGTCCAGACCTGAATCTAAGCTCAAAACAGAATCCTCACATTCCCCTATGCTAGCTAATCATTTAAGGCAGTGTTACACAGAAAGGACTAAAGTCCACTGCAAAAAAAAAAACCACAAAAAACCAAAAGCAAACTAGACTGAAAGCTAAGCCCACCTGAATAAAGAGTGCACTCTGGAGTTCAAGAGTGGACACACAGACATCAGGAAACAATTCTTTACCATGAGGGTGGTCAAACACTGGGACAGACTTCCTAATGAGGTGGTGATACCCTACGCCTGTCGGTGCTCGGGAGGTATTGGAGCAATGCCCACCAGCCCTGCCCAACCCATGGCACTAATCCAGCACAGTGGGGCCAGGCACAGCCAACGCTCCCTCAGGAATTTTTAGTCTAACCATGAAAGCAACTGTAGGGAGGAGCAACAGCACAGTGCTGCTTCTGAATTATTGCCTGCACCAGACAAGGCAAGGTAGCAAATATGACAATGAAATGATGATCAGATAAATGCTATCATCTCACGGCATTAAATCCTGTACTTCCAGCACTTCTCCCTGCCCTTCACAACGCACAGTCTGCCTGAAGTAACACAATGGCTCACACACATCTGTCACTTGAGTTCAGATTTCCCACATTTCCCTCCAGTTTTCCCTATCACAACAGCACAGACATCTCTCTCAAAGCCTATAACTAACTGTACTTTGGCATCTTCTGACTTCTCCCAGTGGGTCATCCTCAAGGCACACAGGATGTGTTTCTACCACCGTTTGCCCCAAAAGGATGCAGCAGCCATGGGGCCAGTCTCTGGAGGCCAATGGGCTGAGGCTGACTCAGTCCCTTCGGAAAGCAAAATCCCTCCACCAGGATGTGCCTCTGGAGCTAATTAACAAGAGAGATAATTGCTAGCGGCAGGTGGCACCAAAGAGGAGGAGGATTAAGACGAGCTTTTAGGGGGGTTGAGTACAGCAAAGCCTATTAATCCTGAAGCTCCTGCTTACTGCAGACTCTCCTCTGAAGCACAGATAAACTCCTTGTGACTTTCATTTCTCTGGATCGTTTCCCTGCCTGCACAGCACCAGCTTCTTGGGAGGGAGCATGATAAGAAACTACGTTATTATAGGCAGCTTCATTATCCCTGCTTATTGCTGTGATCCCAACCCATGTTCCCCGCACCCCCTCATGTGAATCCATCCCGGCAGCACTTCACTATTAACATCCATGCTTGACTGACTGTAATAAGAATTAGCCTCATCCTGTGTAATAGGCAGGGATTTTAGAAGCGCCTGCACCTCCTGGAAATGGAACTTTAATTTCTGCCTCCAAAAGGCAACAGCCTCTGCAGCACCCCAGTGCTCACCATTATGAGAAACGTTTGCAGGCTCTTAAGGCAAGCTGAGGTCTGCTAGGAAAGCGTGTGCCACCCCTACTGCAAAGGAGCCTGCTTGGTCTGAGCTATGCTAATGCAAGTTAATTGTGAAACGAGGTAGGAAAAGAAGCCAGGCAGCATAAAGCAGCCTTAAGGATTGATGTGAAAAAAAGAAGAAATATAGCAAGCACCACTGCTTGAATTTCTGTTCAGTGCACACCACAGAAATTGCTTATTTGATACCAAGGAATCCACAGAAAAGTCTGCAGGATGAAGAGCTCTGGTTGGAAGCAATGCAAGAAGGACCTTGCTCCTATCTGCAGAAGAAAGAATGGAAATTGATTTTTAATAGAGACTTTCAAGATAGTACTGCTATAATAATGACTGAAGATAAAAGGAATACACCAGCTACTTCAATGCAAGCCATTTCAATGCTTGCCAACAACTTCCAGCTGAATACCTAAGTTAAAAACTAATCAAAAGGCTTTCTAGACTGTCCTCACCCCACTGTAATTGGCTTTCTTGACTAGCAACCCTTTATAGAATGGTTCAAGGCTTCTGATCTTGCTGCATACTTCACAGTGCAATGAGTAACATTTTGAAGCCCACAGAGAGGTCTGGACCACCTACACCTAGTGGCTACCTGCTCCAAGTGCTCTGGGCTACTACACAGACCGGCAGCTTGGGGAACCACAGCCAGCAACTTCATTGAGCTGTCTGCTCTCGTTCCCAAAGATGCAGTAACACCAATAGCTCCTTCACCAGCTGCCGGCACAGAACACGTGGGAGCAGCACACTGGGGAAGCAGCTGGCCAGCAGTCCCCAACCTGACAAACACATAGATAAAGAGTTTATCCTCCTTTCTCAGCCCTTGCTAACTTTAAGCCTTTCCTTCTCAGAGTTCTCAGCAGGTCACTGCAGGGATTCAGCCCAGCCACCAGCGCACGTCGCACCCTCCCTATCCCCAAAAGCTTCCCCACAGGGATCCCCCGCTTCCCCCCCTGCCCATCGCAGATGCAGATTCCCGTGTCCTTAGTGGGTCCGCTACTGGTCCACCCTGCCCTCCCACAGCAGCCCAGGCACCTCCCTCCCCACTCGCTCCTGTGCTGGTTCCGTACCTCATACTTTCCTTCATTCTCCTTCTTCATCTTCTCAACGTCCAGCAGCAGTGACCAGACCTGGCCTCGCACCTGGAGCGGAATGCCTTTGTACACTCGCCGACACATCTGCCGCAAGGAAAGGGCATGCACTGTTAGTGTGCTGCAGAACAGCTGTGCTCACATGGCACAGCAGCAGCCCTCTTGTCTGTTCTTGTACAGAGAGGCGTTTCCAGTCTGATGAGTGGGCTGGGCACCTGCAGCCATCAAAGACATCTATTTAGCCAAAATCCAGGCACATTTCATGCTTTTGAGCTCTCTAGAAGAGCTGGGCACAGACCATCCCTGTTGTAGGTGTAGCTTTTACATTTCTCCTAGTCAACCTGCCCTTGGACTCCTCCTCTCGATGTCTCCTGGAACCAGAAGCAGTACCTTTGGCTTTGCAAGCCTTTGGTCTGAACTGGTGCGGCCACTTTTTCCTGGATCCTCAAGGACTAGGAGATACATTTCCCCTTGGAGAGGAGAGCCCTCACACAAGACAGAGATGCGTCCACAGCAACACCTGAAGGCAACTGACAGGCTACACCAAGGGCTCTCGTGCTGGAGAAGATAACAGCCCACATGTATCCCTCAAGCAAGGACAGGGATCAAACAAACGTGCAAGTGTCCCCACTTCTAACTCCATGTGTTCGCTTTATGCCTTTCACAGATGCCTCTTTCCTTTTTCTTGTCATAAGGCCCTCTTTCTCTGAACAGACTATTACATTTCAATAGGAAACAGAAAAAAGAGCTTTTTGTTCCATCCCTGACTTCTCCCATTAAAAGAACTTAAAAAGAAAAAAAAAAAAGCTTTATGTCTGAATATTTTCCATGCTTGCACTCATCCCACCCCCTTGAAACATCTTGCAGCTGCACTACAGAACCAACTGCAGCATTCTTCCAGGTTCCTGGGGACCCCAAGGCTGCACAGGCCCAGGCTCCAGCTGCAGGGGCTTATGTTAGGATGCAGGGATCTCCTGAGTCCCCTAAAGGGACTGAAGGACCCTATAGGACAGGGCAGAGCAGCAGCTCTATGCCCCACTGAGCACAATCCATTCCTGCTGTCTGGCTTAAACTTATCTGATCTCCCCCCAAATCCCTCTTTTCCCATAAGCTTTGTGCAAGAGAAGGGCCATAACTCGAGGAGAAGCATCAAACCACACAGTGGTTTGATCAGCAGATCAGCAGGAGGTTTTCTCATCGTGGACCTGCAATGTTGCCTTTGCATCCCTGGCGCTAAGCAGAACATCTGCTGCAGTCACTTCTCCTTCCTGGCACACACCACACCATCAGCTTCCTTTCTTCTCACCAGAGTTTTTAACACAGTCCCTGCCCCAGATCTGCTGCTCACTGTTCCAGGCAGTCTCACTTGCTCTGAAGGTCCTACACACGCCCCAGACCACCATACTCTACAGAAGCCCTTTGTGAGACTCTCAGCTAACACCAGGAAAGAACTACCAAGATGTGTGCACAGAGGGAGGCCTCCAACCACCCAGCGATGGCCCATCTTTTAGGGTATGTTACTACTTCAGGGTCTGCCAAAATTAGCAAGGAAGAACCACAGTATGTACGTGGAACAATGCAATTACATGAACCACTCAATCAAAGTCAAACTGGAGAGGAAAATCATAGAATCATGGAATCATTGGAACTGGAAGGGACCTTTAAAGGCCATTTAGTCTGATTCCCCTGCAATGAACACGGTTATCTACACTAGATAGGTGCTCAGACCCCCAGTTCAGTCTGACCCTGAATGTCTCCCAGGACAGTGCATCCACCAGCTTTCTGGGCAACAAGGAGCCCATGAAAGCGTGGCTTATAACTTTGTGAAGCATAAGCTGAGACAGAAAGAAGAAAAATGGAGCATGTACCCATTTAGTTAACAATCATCCCACGATTTGTTTGTTTCCAGAGTATTAGGAAAGAGTGGCTGACAGTCACCAAGGTAGAGCAAGCTCAGCTCTGTGGGAAGAAAATTATTCTGTTTTGAATTCTCAGAGCTGTTATTGTTATATTTTAACAAGTGTGGCATATATAGTAAATGTCTCTAATGATTTTCTCTGCACAAGAGTGCAGCAGAAACAAAGGAGTTACAAAACATGCTGAGATGAAAACGAACTAAAATGCCTCTCTACTATTTATCCAAAGGGTTTCCTCCTCCCACCACTTCCAGAAGTGCAAGTGATAAAACCTCAGTGCTGTGAATCACGGAGAGGGAAAATGAGCAATTTTCCTTTGTCATGAGACTTGAAGGAAAACAGGGAAGTTATCATTAACAGCAGCAATTATGTGGGAAGCAGAGTGCAGGTGACAGCAGCTGCTGCCCTGCATGAAAATGAAGTACCCTCCCAACTCACCATCTTTTGGCTCTAATAAACTGCTCAATGCTTGCAGCTGTGAAAAGAACACCAGGACCACAGCCCAAGCAGACTGACACAAAGAGGGCAGGGAGAACAAACCCCATCGCACCTCACAAGTGGAGGTGCTGGGAGCTGAAGTGATGGCTCCACAGCTTTCACCAGAGGAGTGGACCCCAGTGTCTAGGGGAATCTCGACTGCCCTGAGGCACATCATGAGGACAACGTGGTGGCTGTGGCAGAGACCATTTGCTACAACCCCTTCCTTTCCTGGAAGCAGTACAGCAGGGATGAAGCCAGACTTGGCCCAACTCTGCCATGACAAAGGTCTGCAGGCTGTTCCTAGCAGGAGCTGATTACTCCCTGCTGGGGGTCTGTGGCAGTCAACACACAGCCCTGATTCATCCTAAACCGCTTTGTCGGCACGCATCGGATTAAGAACCCAGCACCTCAGTGACCTTTAACAGAGACAAGGCCATGACTGTGTGCAGACAGGCTTTGCTAAGAACCTGACATCCCCAGCCAAAGACATCCCCCTCCAAAGTCCTAATGCAACAAGCAGTGTGCATGCTATGCACAGATCACATCATCTCCACAGCTGTCAGTCCCCCAGGACTTATACTCCTGGTTGAAATCCAGTTATTTCAAAGCTACAATGAAGAAATTAGCTTGCTATCAAGAAGCACTCAGCGTAGCATTTTCCCCTTGAACTACTGTGCATACGCTTACATGGCACCATTGGGGCAATTCCTAGAAGTGATAACATGGATTTAGAACAGCAGTGAATGGAGCACAAATCCCCCATCACTGCTGTGCTGCACCCTGAGCCACACAACACAACACTTCTCTGCAAGTTGGCACGTGTTGGCTCTGTGGAACTCTGTGCCCTTAGCATGGACTCATTTATTTCCACATCATTTCCCCTGTGAAGTCAGTAAGGCTGCTTGTACAGCCAGGAACAAGCACCGTGACATCAGCCTAACCACATCCCTGCTAGAACGGTGCTGGTATCATTTGTGTGTGCTTCTGGAATTAAGTTGTAGTGCTGCAAAGCATGCCTAAAACAGCTCTGCAAACAGATCCGACGTGGTGCTGAGCATGAGGAGTCCCAGGGCACTGCTTTCATTAAGGCAATCCTATCTGCTGCTCATCTTGAAACACATCATACCAGGAGTGATTTGAAGTGCAGGCAGGCCACCTTGGGCTAGGGGGATGTCAGAGGCTGCCTGCTGAGGGCTCTGTCTCTTACAGTCAGCAACCACATCACGTAGACAGGGGACGGTAGCAGGTGGGGATGCATGCTAGAAATTGAGCTAATGTCAATCAGGCTTGGAGACAGGCAGCATCCCCAGGGAGGGTGTAGCGTTCCTCAGAGGCTGCAGAGCAGGAAGCCCCTGTGGGTGCTCCTGCGGCAGCTTTGGTAGTTTTCCGTACTACTCGTTGCACACTGCAGGAGCCTGTGCTGCTGTGACTCTGGAGCTGGGAATGGTGTGAGCTGCCCATTCCAAAACAGACAAGCCAAGGCAACAACCTGAGAGCTCCATGCCGACACTGAAAATCACACATGGTAGCACAGTGAGTCCAGAGTCCTTCTGAACAGACTGTGTCAAAACCAAGGACAAAGAGATGGCGCCTGTCTTCAGCACCCTTCAGGGATTTCTTCGTAAGATGAAATCTGAGTCCTTTCTTTACAATCCTTTAAGTTCCACGCCTGAGCTGTGTCAGCCATCAGCTCATGACAACACCAACCTCCAGGCAGCTTCTGTGCTGCCAATCAAGCACTGGGCTGTACAGCTCTAAGACTGCAGCATCTTTCCTCCAAAACAGCAATGCAGATGGTGGTGTGCTCCATGCAAGGGACTGACAGGGATGGAAAACACATCCAGGTAAAGGTACTTTTCTGTGTTTCTCGAGGTCTTGCTCCTTACTGCTCCACACTGAGCTCCACAGGGTAGCTCTGATACATGCACTGATGGTAACAGCGGCAGCACAGAGCTTCCTGCGGCAGTGCCAGCAGGCTGCCAGGCCTGATTCAAAGCTGCTTTGTGCTCTTCGGCTTCATGCTCTCCCAGGCTGCCGCCAAGCACTGTGCCTCAGCCGCTGGGGGGGCTGACGCTGAGCGCCAGGGCTCAAGCCCTACAGGGGACAATGCCACTTCTGTGTCCTGGAGTGAGGGACTGTTCACAGGCTGTTATAAATAGCAATGCCATTTATTCCTTTACATTCTCTGACACAGGGACCCGTGAGTGGCTTGCTGTTGGATGGCCGGTCAAGCACCTCTCCAGCCTTCAGCTGAAAGTCAGCAAGCAGCCAGGTCATACAAATCCTGCTCTTTGGTGCTTCCTAGGATCAACCCTGGGGCTGGACATGGGAATCCCGTCGCTTGGACAAAGGACCAAAGCAGTTGGTTTATCCTGTACACCTTCAGCACCTGAACTTCTTGTTAGCCCACCTGAGCTGACACAGGAGAGCCAAGGTGTGCTTGACACACTCCAAACACAACAGGGCCCGCTGGGATTCCCTGAACACTGTTGGAATTTGGTATTATGTCCACGAGGCCACAGAACAATTAATGCTAAGTTCTAATTAGAGAAGTCAAGGCCACAGGAGAGCTTCCATTTTTGCCACCCACAGAACAGCACTGACGAAGAAAATAATTATAATAGCACTGAAACGAGAAGAGGGACTAAAACATCCCAAGCTTATCTTCAGTACCATTCTTGTTATAACAAAAATAAGGTTTTATTTAACAGAAGAGGAGCCTACTGCTGTTCCCTGGTTGGGTGAACTTCAAATTGCTCCAGGCTGCCAGTGATGAGGGAAGAGGATGCTCTGTTTCCAAGCTGCCCATTGCAGCCTCCAGCAGCTGTGGTAGCATCCTCTGGAGGAAGCTGAGGGAGCCAACACATGGAGCTTCTGAATGCAGGCAGGTCAGGGCACAGTGCCTCTGTGCTCAGAAAGCTCTGAAGTCTGCCATCAGGTTTGAGGCTTTTTTGCCTAAAGAGGTTTGTCCTAGGAATTTATTACAAATATTATTCATTAAAATTAATTTGGTTTTGCACTGGTGTTTGCACTTTACTTACAAAGTCAAATCCAAAGCAGAAGGTTAATGCCTCCACAGCTGGGTGAACACCAATAGGCTCAGCAAGCAGCCAAAGGGCTTCACACAGGCAAAGCAGGGAGCAAAACCCAAAATTTAGGTCATGTCCTAGACTGATATTTCTCACCCCTGGGAGAAAACCAGGGGGAAAATCAGCAGTACCCATTGCATTGTCCATGCCATGCCCAGGTGCTGCAGTGTGCAGCAGGGACCCAGATGGGCACACAAACACATCTGCTGTGCTCCTGCCTGCACAGGTGTCAGTACAAACATATAGGCTGCAATTAGGATTTCTCATCATATTTGAGTCAGAGCAGAATTTTCCCTCTACTGGTAAGCCAGTAAAATCTAAGGAAAGATTTGAAATACTGAAGACTAACTAACGGGTAGAATTAGTCAATATTTTCCATCTATCTCTGGTTTCTCTCTTAACTTTCTCTGAAAGCCTGACTTATTCAGAGGAGTCACCAGAGCATACCTCCTTGCATGTGCTCTTTTTTCCCACCTCACCTTGTCACTGTTCCTGTATTTGCTCCATTTCTTCAGCATCTTCAGCCACTTGTCCACACGTTCAATTTCCTGCTGCTTTTGCTGGTGGGAGAGGGGGGAAAAAGACAGGACAAATTTAAGAAAAAAGCTAGAATACAATTTCTGAAAGATAAGGACTTCCTTCTCCTTTGGTTTAAATTTCTGACAGCTGAACTTTACACTCAGCTGCATACAAACACCTCTCACAGGAGACAGGAATAACCCAGAGGTGTTTGCAAGAGCTGGTAATTTCAATACTCAGTCATTAAAAAAGCATTGTATAAACAAGGAGAGACGCAGGCTTAACATGCAGAAAGCATTTCCAAAAGGGCCATTTCTTGACCAAAAAAAAACCCTATCCAGGTTCAGCTAGCTTCAAATCACTAAAAACGAGGATCACTCCTCCCCAGATGAAGTTACAAGAACCCAGTACCCACACTGGCAAAGCTGACAGCTCTCACCTTCTCTTCCAAGGCGGTGCGGGTTGGCAGCTCCTGCTCACTGGAAAAGCAAGGGGTGACATGTTAACCATGGGGACAGCAGTGTGTGTGGTGAGGGTGGGAGAGAAGAGAGAACTTACTGCAGAAACCCAAAGCGGTCAGTAACTTTGTACAGCGTGAAATCAGCATCTTCCCACGGGTCAATCGTGGCTCCCTCCTGCCTGCCCTGAAAGCAGAAGGAAGGTCAATGAGCCACATCAGGAATGGAAATACCCCAGTGCCTGCATCCTGTTCCCCCCAGTACCTGTATGCTAGAAAGCACAGAACAACAGCACTACAGACCAAAGCCTGCTCTAGAGAGAAAAAAATGCAACACAATCAACAGAAAAGTCAACAGGTTGAAACCATCCAGCTTATCAGAGGTGCCACTGCTATGGGGTCAAAAGGGTTGTACATCATAGCAGGCGGTGCTGTCGGGCAATCGGGCACAGGCCATCCTAGCTTTAGTAGGGACACAGAAGCACTGGAAATCCAGGGCCTCTGTGACTGTATGGAGCATATATGGGATCTAAGAGACTGTGAGAGAGGATGGGCAGGCAGAAGTAGGCAGAAAGAGCTTGGCTGCTGCAGCAATTCTTCAAAGTATCCTTGCTTGACCCACTGACCAAATATCCCCAGCCTTAGCTAGTGTACTGGGGAAAAGCACAAGGCTGGTACCTTTTCATACTTGGCAATGATCTCCGCTTTTTCCTGGGTTATTAAAGTGTCTATATCTTTCTTCATGTCAGAAGCTGTAAGGCAGAGGAAAAAAAAAATTAGACAAAGAGGTAAGTAAAACCATACACAGCATAAGAAATATTTTAGGAAAGAGCTAATAGGGAAAAGCTTTGCTGACAACTTTAGCTCCCAGCCTTATCCAAAAGATAAAATGAGGCTGAGATTAAGAAGCCTCCATACAGAACCTGTATGGAACTCGCATGCATGCAGCACAGCTGCCAGCTCCTCACTCTGCACTGAGCAACAACTGAACTGGAGCAAGCGGGACCTCTGTCTATACAGCAGCTGGAGTGGGAGATGCTCTGCACACTCACACGCTGTGCAGAAGACAGAAAGTAAAATTGAGAAGTGCAATCCAGCAGTGCTGATGAGTTCTGAAGCCCACGAGCGGCAGGCAGGATAAGCATTGGAAGTTGTGCCACGTTTTCATTCACATGGCTGTGGCTTTGCCAGCCAACAGGTCCCAGATGGACAGTGCACTCTGAGGAGCAGGGAGGGAGCTGGGACTAGCATCAGTTCCCTGATGGCCTTTGGAAAAGGTCTACACACTTAGGAGTACAAAGCCTCTTAGAATAGCTTGTTAGATTGCTTTTTGATTGCTCAAAGGAGATTTTTGCCTATTTTGCCTGCTGTAAGACGACCCAGCAGGGTTGGGAAAAAGCTATTAAGGACCATCACAACCTTAAACTATTCCCCCCACTGCCACAGATGAATCATTCAGTGATTCACTCAGAGCATCTGAAAGCTAAATGACTTCAATAATACAGTCCAGAGATTTATTGTCCAGCTTGAAAGAAACACATGGGATCCTTAGCTGTACAGAATCCTGCAAGAAATTGCAAAATGAATCACATGGCCAGCACACTGACTGCCCATGTGTGCTGTGCAGGAGTGGGTTGTGCCGGTCCTGCCCCGTGCTGGGGGCAGAGCAACACAACACAGCAAATCCTGACCCTCTGCAGGCTGCACATGGGAAGAAAAGCACTACCTCACTCATTTTCACTTCACTTCAGATCCATTTGATAACGGTGATGTCCTTTTCTTTTGCTTGCATCGTTCTCATGAATTTCAGGACCACTACAGATCGGACACTAGAGCCACTAGAGATAAATGGGGAAGTAAGAAGGGAAGATCACTGCTTCCCATGCTCCCCTTCTGAGAAATGTGAATCAAAGGAAACTTACTCTCCTGCTCCACCTCCTTCTTACACCACTTTTGGGTTGTTATGAGGCTGGAGAATTCAAACGAGATACTTACGGTGCTGCTGAAAATACAACTTTTCTGCAGGCTGGAGGGAAGAACAAACTGTATGTCAAATTAAGTGCATGATTTTTTAAGATACTTACGAAGTGGAAATTATTCTGACCATCTCTACCACACACTGTAATAAAATAACCAGAGGAAGAGCTATTTGGTAAGAAAGGAAGACTTACATAGCAGAAGAAAGAGCAAGACCACATGTGTTTTGGCTTCAGCCTCTGCAAAAGGCTCCCTGCAGCCAGAAACTTCAAACTGGTTGCAAAGCAACCAGTTTTGCACCTCGTAGCTGGAACACGCCTGTAGTGACCTTGCTTCTCTGTACTGTACTGCCTGCCCACACTGAACACTGCCTAGCCATCAGCAAACCCAAACTCTTCACAAAATATCCCATCTAGGAGATCCTAGATGGTAACAACCTTCCCTTTGCTAGCTTGCCATATGGGATTTCAGGTACTGGCTGCAGTCAGGTGTCTGCATCCGAACTCCATGACTTTTTGCAAATATTGCTATTTCAAAGTCAGACTTACTGTTATAATCCTCCCCAAGATGTCTCAGATTCTTTTTTCCATGAAATCTTTACCATCTTATTTAATGGTAAATATAGGTATCTACACTCCATACTCCTTGACTTTAAGGTAACACAGACACTGAGTTTTTCCTGTAGTCATACCACTGTCACCAGAAAGAAGAGTTGGGCTCTGCTTACTGAGCTCACACCATTAGGATGTATTAGCCATCCCCTACCTAGTTCTCTCCAGCACCTGCAGATGAAGCAGATGCTGCTACCTGTTTCCTGAAGATACATCTGCACACCTTTGTATCCTCTCTCCCCACTGCTTGACGAACACAAACAAGGAGGAAGTCCCATTAAGGACTTCCATCAGGACTCAAGAGCAGCACGCAGATCTGCACACAGCAGAAATGAAAGTGTACAGTCTCTGTACAAGGACTGGAGCAAAGGCACTGAAGATCTGGCCGATGGAGATGTAGAGTTTCATGGAGAACTGCAAGGAGTTGCACATCTGTAATATGCATGTTTAGGACTTGATGATCCTCAGTGTTCCTTTAAACTTGGGACATCCTACGACATTCTATGCCTTGAGATGCCCCATGAGAAATTCACTTCAGCCATGATGCAAGATCTGACACCTCGGAAACCTTCTTGCACAGCAGTTTTCTGTGGGACCTCTGGCAGAAAGCAAATCCCAGCCTCTGGAGGGAGAAGCTGCTGGTGATGTTGTGCTGATGCACCCTTCTGCACACAAATTGAGCTTCAGAAAAACAGAATTTTCTTCTAAGCCCACTGCTTTAAGCAGCAATTATCTGCATGAGTTGAACCCCGCTGCTAAACCTCCCCATCTAAGCACTGCTGAATGCTCACAGCTTCCCTACAACCAACCAATTTCCCCTTGAGTCAATGCTGTTCCTTCCCGAGGTGAAGCTGTCTGGGCCACCTGCAGCCCTTCTCTGCACACTGCCCCAGAAGGCACAGCTTGGAAACCTGCTCGCCTGCCTCAGCCCTTACAGAACTGCACCACAGTGCAGCACACCACATGGCAACGGGGGTTCTAATCACTGCTTGGGTGAAGGGCAATCACTAGGAATTGTTACCCTAAGAAATGAGTTTGGTTAAGATCTGTTGGATTCCTGAATGTGCCAAACAAAAAAAAACCCACATGCTGGCACACAGCACAACATGCTGGTATCAAACTGAAACTGCTGTGGGACACAGTCAATAAGGTACGTAGCTGACAACTGCACTCACCACCATGGAAACTTAGAAGGTCTCTGTTCCTGTTATGCATTCTATTTTAAAAGCACATTTTAACAAATCAAATCATGTCAAACCTCGGGCTGCCCACGCTACAAGCCTGCACTTTTCCTGCAGGAACAGGCTCAAAGAGCCGACCTCTGGCTGCCTGTCCCAAGGCAATGCTCAGAGCAAAGCCCTGCAGTGTGCAACCCCACTGAGACACAGCAGCTCAGTATGCAGAGGACCACAAAACCCTCGAAATGCCCCAGAAGGTTTCACTGAAGCACACAGACCTGTGCCCATCCCTGCTTGCTGCTAATCTCCTATCAGGCAAAGTGGGCATTTGGTTGCAGCCGTGCTGCAAAAAAGGGAAGCAGAATTGTGCTCACCAAGTCAGTAATGGCTTCAGAAACAAAATTACTACCGGGCAGGATGAACACAGATACAGGAGATCCTGTTTGCATGTTTACTTCCTTGACTACAACAAACCCAAGAGCGCACAGGCATGTTAATTTATTTTTTTTCTAAATGGAGGAGCATGAAGTCAGATGAAACTTAAGGAGAGACTGAATCAACTGAGGGCCTCTGCAAATGACTGCTCATAGATCACCTTCCATGACTCATAGGTGTTTCAGACGGCTCAAATGGGTTCTCATCTCACTATATCTGCATCATATTTGCATGCACCATAACATCACAGCCACCTCTACAAGAGCACGCCCCCTTCCTTTAGCAGAGGCACTGGTGACAGCTGAGAAGGTCTCCAGTACAAGCTGTGTGATGCAAGTAGCGATGTCCCAAGCAGCTCAAGCAGAACACTCGGGATGACCACAGAACATACAGGATAACTACATAATTGACAGCCCAGCAAAGGTCTGAACAACTCACTGCCACAGGCAGCAAACAATTGCTTTGGGGGCGATGTGACTGACACATTAGGCAAAGGGAATGTGGTGATGTGAGGCACCGCGCCCTTACCTGCACCTGTATCAGGTGCCGAGATGCATCAGTTCAGCCAGAGTTGTGCTCTCCCTTTTGGGCATCTAACCAGCAGTAAGCCTTCTGTTTCAGGTTGCAATGATTCCTGCTCAAGCGCTCACGGCTCAGCCCCGGGCAGCCTTGTTGCACTGCTGTCTGGACAAGGGCTGGTTCCTGCTGAGGGCTCACTGCAAAGGAAGCAAGGAGCTGGTGAGTTTTCCATCCCATTCAGTGCTGCCCTTCAGCAACGCACCAAGCATCTGTGGGCAATGGGGGTCGAGGTGTAATTGATGTTGTGCAGGCTGCTCTACCCACAACAGCAATGTGCAAGGAAGGAAGCTCCCTGGGAACAAGGCGGGATCTTGTGCTACTAGCTACATGCTGAGAGATGACTCCCAAGCTGGTCGAGGAGTTGGTTTGACCCATCCTCATTTTCATCCCCTGTGCAACTCTATACACAGGGGACACAGAGGTTTCACCAAAAAGCCATCCTGGCTGGGATTCCCAGCACAGTGGGGAAGCAGTAGGCAGTAATAGAGAGAAATCATTCCCCCACTGCCACTTGTGCTCAAGCTTTTGACTCAGTGTGCTCAGGGTGAGCTTCCTCCCCACCCAGCACATATCCCTAGCTGTTTTCCCTGCGCAGGGCTCTGTGTTTCAGCTGCTTTCTGGCCTGGCTGAGTGGCAGGGCCTCCCCTGGCAGCCCCAAGCCCCTCTATCCCAGCAGGCACACTCCTTGCAGCCAAGCAATTTCTACTCGCTGCATCCAAGAACTTGAAGCAATTCAGAGAACAGAGCCCACTGCGTAGCTGTCATTATGACAGCCTCAAAAACTGGTATTTCTCTCCATTTTAAGCAGCAACCAAAAAAAAACCAAGAAAAAAAAGGACCTGAAAGCTACCAACCTGTGCTGTGACACATAAACATTTGCACAGGAGGAGCAGCAGGGAGTGCAGTGAGGCCCAGTTCCTCTGCACCCACACTACACCAGGCCAGCCCCAGCCCTTATGCAAAGCTCAACTGCTGCAGTGCCAAACCGCAGCTCCAGACACATGCTGAACCCCTAATAGGGCTGTGGGTCTGCACACTGTGCCTCAGCAGCTGTTATTCTTAGACCTTACAAAGAATTAAAAAAAAAAAAAAATTAAGAAGATGCAATGCATTTTTCTCTCTCTTTTTTTTTTAGAAGCTTTGCTATTTAAATGATTTCTACTTGACCTCATTAAGAAAAAAAAAAAAAAATGAAAGAGAGAGAAGTTAGAGAATGCAAAAGTCGACATGCTGTTGTGGGAATTGAAAACTTATTTTCTCCTCCATCTTCCATTCCAGCATCTATAAATAAAGGCCAAAAATCCAGAAGAAAAATCCCCCTCTTTGGGCAATGCATAAGCGTGGAAAGAAACTGCATAAACACAGAGCTTAGGAGCAAACTTCTGTCTGCTTCAGAATGCGGAGCAGTTTACATTTTTTTAACTGAAGCACAGGAAGGTACAGCAATGATTGCTCTCCCTTTCAGCATGCAACAGGCAGGATGCTGAGCTGCCAGCAGCCTGTGCTTTCCTTGGCACAGTGGGACAGCATCCTTGTAAAGTGCAAATAAGGAAACAACAAATGTCCTATGATATAAAGGCACTGGGATGACCAATGAAAATAAGAGGTAGGAAGCTAAAAATCTACTAGCAATGAGATACAGCTCGTTCTCAGAAAACTTGCTGAAAATAGCCTGCAGGGCTTTATAACTAAGCTGCAGGCATCTAAATTGAGTTAAAATGAAATGACGTGTACTGCGTGGGTCTCACCTCTGCTCATGTCCCATGCTTAAGAGAAGTAAGCCACATTAGACCAATTCCTGTGCTCCTAGGAAAACGTGTTTGAAAGAGGTCCTCCCTGCACCACTCTCATTCCTTCAGCCACTGCAATGGGTTTGTTGGGTGACACAGCAGCCAAACCCACTCACCCTTGGCAGCCCCTGTGGGGACACTCCCTGACCACACACATTGCTGGCAGCTCCCTGGGCTCCCGCTACCTTCAGACAGCATCTCCAGACTCTGAAGCACCACCACCGTTAACTTCCTCCCTTCCACTGAAACCCCATGAGATCACATCAAGAAATAGCAAAGTTCAGAGAAACAAGAAGTGTCTGATCCAGCACTGGGAAGGCACAGAAAAGATGTCTTCCCAAGCTCCACGATCCCTCACAGCTCTGCAGTACGGCATGAGGACACACAGCGTTTCCAAGGAGTAATTAAAAAAAGGTTGTGTTAATACAACATAACCTTTCTCTTCCTTTTTGTTTGTTGATAACTCCTAAAATTACCCAAACTGAACGCTCACAGGAATTTTTGCTATTTTGTGCAAAAGCACCATTATATATAAACAAGAAAATGTAATGGTTGTTTTCCCTTTGAGGAAATCACTCACACAAGAAGCCTCCCCTCTTCTCTTTGGGGAAAACATGTTTATAAAATCCAACTGGAAGGGAAGACTTCAGGCACACACAGTACTCACCACAGGCTCCAGCTTACAAAACAGCACCAATGCTGTTTTGTCAATGTAAAAATAAATCCAGTTGGGTTTTTTTTGTTGTTTTTTTTTTTGTTGGTTTTTTTTTCCATGCTGCTGAAATCAACATCTGTGTAGTCTGGTCAGAGCTTCAAAATACTACTTATAATTCACAAGGCATTTGGCTGTTACCACTTCACCGTGGTTGACATAAAGTGCATGTCTGACACTAAAAATGGATCCACTGGAGCCGGTGTGACAAAAGACAGCCGTGCAGCTTCTCAGCCATGGAAGAGAAAAGTGTGCTGACAGCTGAAAGTCAGTGATGTCACTGCAATAATAGTTAAATGCAGCAGAATGACACAAAAAACCTTACGTTCTTAACACCTTACGCTTGGCGGCTGGACTTGATGATCCTTGCTATTCCACGTTCTGTATTCCTCTACCAATCTGTGGCATACACTACCATGTAACAACGTAAGCCGCTGATATCACAGGCCATCCCAAACCATCAAGAACTAGAAGTTCAGGTTTGCCAGCCCAGCACGTTCCCCATGTCTAGTTTTGAAACCTCCCGTGACGATGCCAGCATCAAGATGAGGCAGCAATTTGTCTCAGTTTCTGGGGAAAGAGCCCTCCCCATGAGCTCACTGCCTGGCCATGAGCCCAGGAGGAGAAGGGCTGAGGACAGCCCATGGGCAGTACCAAGAGGCAGAGCTCTGGGAAGCTTGTCATCACCTCACCCAGTTCCACAGCCATGTTTCCCAGTCTTCCCCCAAGTGGGTCACCACCCCAAGAGCTCAGCAGCAATCCTGCCTGGCTGTCCCATACCTGCTCTGCCCAGGAACTTCATGGCAATCTTAAATAGCTTCAACTGAAAGAGATGGGAAAAAATGAAAGGAATGTTGCTGTTTCTCACAAAGGACAGGGGGATGCTTGGGCGCTCCTGTTATTTAAATGGAGTGCTTCAACCAAGCCCAAAGTAGGAGAGCTTCAAAGAATTTCCCATACAGGCACTAACTCAAGCAACTCATTCCTACCTCCTACTGAAGGAAAGGGACCAAGAAATCATACAGCCATGGGGTGCTTTGTGTTGGAAGAGACCTCAAAGACCCATCCAGCGTTTAACTCCTGCCACAGGCAGGGACACCTCCATCTGATCAGGCTACCAGGATGCCATCTAGTGTGGCTTTGAGCACCTCAAGGGATGGGGCAGCTACAGCTACTCTGGGCAATCTTTTTCAGTGCCCCACCACACTCACAGTAAATAATTTCCTCCTCATACCAAATCTAAATCTCTCCTCTTTCAGTGCATCTGTTACCTACTACTACAGTTTTCCATGTGCTCAAGATTTCTGATATGAGTAATGTAGCAACAGAAGCAGGTCAGAGGGGACCACAGCAGACAACAACTGAACAAGGTAAGTGACAGTAAGCATAGAAAAATTACAAAAAAATTAAATCTTCCTTCTTGGGTGAGTTAAAAAGCAGAGGGAAAAGTTGAAGAAGATCAGAGACTGTGGCAATGATGGAAAGACAAGCATTTGGTATGATGGAAACCCACATTCTAGGGAGAAGGTGCAGACAGGGACACATAGCTCTTGAAGACACAGCAATTATTCCAACTCCATTTGCCTTTCACCCTGTGTCCTGCAGCTCTGGAAGCAGATGGGCTACACGGCACTGCAACCTGTAGGGTGGCTTTCCTGGTCACTTCTGACAGCCCCTCTGGGTAATTTATCTACATGATACTTCTATTAAAAAGAAAGTTAAATCTGGTCCTTGGAAAACACTCATGAATCCACAAATTGTAAGATGGTGAAAAGGCCCTGCCCTGACATCATGAAGAAAGTGCAAAAAACTCCCAGTGCTGGCTAAAGCAAGACTGTACCAGTGGTGATTATACACATATGCTGCTCTCCCCAGAGAGCAAATGAAAATAACTCAAGCATCATCTGGGTTTCAAAAGGACAGTAAGAAACAAGAGACAGTCTGACTTAACTGCAGACATGCTCAACTGAAGGAAAAACAACGCTGATTTGAACTTGAAAGATGCATTCATCTTTAAAGTGCTTTAACAGGAGAAGCAAGTAGACAGATCACTTAAAACTTGTCCGTTAATTCAGTTAATTACTATCAAAAACACTTTGCAGTGATGATGATGATTTCTGAAGGAGTTTGGGAAATGGGAATCTTCACATTCCAAGATGAAAATCTGGGATAACTGAATGCAACTTACATCTGGTGCAGCTGGCCTTAGCACTTTGCAAAGGACTCTGAAAAGGGAATTTGTCAATAAATAAGCACCTGAGAACAGTGGAAGGTATTTTGACAAGGAAAGACCCAAAGAAATTGCTTTCCTTTATTTCTCCTAAAAAAAAAAAAAAAAGAGTGGGGCCAACATAAAAAGTAAGATCCATGCTTGAGCTAGACTGCAGATGCTGAAATAAGACTTGAAATCGAATACCAATTGCATGGGAGTTTTTTTGCACTTTTTTTTTTTTTTAACCAAACATCAAGTCATGAGCAGGAAGAGCTTTTTTAGAGAGCAATTGGAGCCAGTTTGCTCTACATCATTACTTAATTTAGCAGAGGGGCCTCTGTTGAGGTGAGCACAGCCATTAAGGCACAGTCACTGCAACTCTGTCCCAGCTGAGAACAGGACAAGAGGAGCTCACCTGTCTGG